GGTCTTAGTCAAACCATAGCCCTAGGGCTAGTAGGTTTAGGGGACCATCTACATGAGTATCCCAAAAGATCAAGGGATCTAGGCTAGAAATTTGATTTTAGGGTTGTGAGTGAATGTGGGTGTATATGAGTGTAGATGAGTGTAGTGAGTGCCTTAGCTCTAGACCAACACCCAGGGTTAACCTTAAGGTTTAACAGTCCTAAGGGTGACTTATCTTGAGTTTCCCCCGTAGTGATCCCACATTCTAAATGCTAGAGGTTGAGACCAACATGTGGCACCTCAAGTTGAGTACAGAAGAGGGTAGAATTTCTAATGGTGAGGGTTCCATGTCTAGTTTTCTAAGAATAGTCAATAGGAAAAATCCTATGGCTAGACCTCAGGCTACTAAAAGGGAAAAAACTAAACCTCAACCAAAAATGAGGTCAACAGTGCCCCCATTTGAGAATGTCTTTAGCCTGTTTGTTTTGCTGCCTTAGTTTTGAAATTGGTTTGAATGTTGCTTTATGCTGGATGGTTGGCTGTTTGGATGGTTTTGGGTGTTGGTTTAGCAGTATGATTGCCCACATTTTTTACCCTTATCAGTTTCTTAATATGGGAAGCTATCTTTTTGTTCCTTTCTGGAGTTGCTCTAGCACTGTAAATTGTTGTTTTTATGGCTATGACCTCACTTATACATTGAGCAACGGTTGCTGGGTCACTTGGTTTGTACATGACATTACCTTAATTGTTTTAAGCTTTAGGCTTTGCTGCTCCACTAGCCACTTTTTATTTATTGCTCACGTGCCTATCTGGCCTGTTATGGCCTGGGATAGGCTTTTTGGGAATTACAGTACTGCTGCTGAGGTTCTTTATAAGTTGTTGATGTCTTGGGGATCATTTCTAGCAGTCCTTGTTTCCTTGGGTCTACTAGAAGGTGTTTTGTTACCTCGTTACTATTTCAGGATGCATGGTTTTGGTCTCACGGTTTCACTAGTTTTTGATTGGCCTCCTCTTACGGTTATTGGTGATATTGGCATAATTGTATCACTTTACCTTGTTATGCTATATGTCTTTTCTGGCAGGAAGTTTAGGTCGGGTCAGGCTATGATTTGCTTTCTTCATGGTCACTGCTCCTCTGCTCCTTCCCTGGACTGCGATTTTCTGCCTGGATGCCCACTACCCATTATGTTGAATTCTTGGGTTTCGGTTGTTAAGCTCTTGGAATACTTGGATGGCTACACACTCTGCTTTGGCTGAACTTCTTGAAAGTTTTTTGGACTTTGCATCTTTAGTTTTTCACTTTCTGATCATACTTTTTGCTTTACATGCAATTTTTGATAAACGTTTTATGTTTGTATACTTTTTTTTGGTGTTTATACATGTATTTTCTTGTTTTTTGTGTGAAGTTGTAACGTGGATACGGGAACCCCTAGGTTTGAGTTTCATTTTGTGTTTAAGATGTGGATCCACTATCCCACCCCCCCTAAATTTGTACATTTTTTAATTATTAACGTGCAAGGAGCCACGAGCTGCTCTTTTAACCTATATATATATATATATATATATACAAAACTAAGTCCATGAAGCGCCTTCATAAAAAAATTAAAAAAGCTTGAAATTACAAGCTAGGGTCTCTATTTATAACTATTTTGATTGTATAGATTTATGAGATTAATTAAATATAACAAACTAATAAATTAAATGCTAGATCTTCATATTATATATATATTCCATTTGCTTCATATACAATAACTGTGATATTGGTGTAAGGATTTAAAGATGGCTTAAAATTAAATATAAGGAAAAATGCTTTCATGTGTCATTCTACCATATATCCTTATTTTCATATATAGTTAATGAATGATTAAAGCATGGCATAAACTCATAAACTCTATCCACATTAATATTATATGTTTAAAATCACATTTAAGCTGAGATCTTGAATTATGATAAAATTGTTCAAGCTAAAACAAAATTAAATCTGAGGAGATTTACATCAGCTTTTCTACACATTGATAAATATGTACAATTGTTGCATGTCATGTAAGCTTCGTTCTACTTGGATAACTCCAATCTTTAACGTAATACTAGACTAAGGTGGTCTAAGAACTTGCAACTGCCACATGGTTGATATTTATTTCATTTGTCGAAACTTGTGATACCTGGTACCACACGTTGGATGCAAAGCGATGTGGGGAGAACACCTGTCATTTAATTGATTATGGAGTACGTCTCTTCAACCTTCCAGCTGAAGAGTTTGTTGATGCTCCCAATATTTCCCATTACAATTTACTCTTTTTGACTTATTCATTGTGTTCAAGTGTCCAATAAATGGGATGAAACAAACTAGTTTTAAAGCTACTCTTGTAAATATATATGTTAAATGTATGTATAATAAATAGAGTTAAGATCTAGCCACTTATGTTCAAGTATATAATCAAGCTAATTATATATGGTTTTGTCGATAGGTTTGAAACTCGCTCGGCAACCGTTTGTATGTTAAGAATTTAAAATTAAGAATAAAATTCTCTTATTCAAAGATGTCGTGCTTGAAATAAGTTATAATCACAAGAGGCGTACTTATATATATATATATATATATATATATATATATATATATATATAGGCTCCACCCTGAAATATTTACTAAGACTTCCAATATTATCGATTATAATAAAGATTTTTCTCTTAATCTTAAACAATCGATAATAATTTATTATAAATTATATTTTAAATTATTAATAAAAATATAATAGTTTGAAATTTTTTCTTAAGTCAAATATTTGTCCCCTCATATTTTTTTATTTCATCGTATCTTTAGTGACGGGCCTTACAGTGAGAATACAATTACTCAATATACAAATAATAGCCTTTTTTGAGCAAGACCAAATGTTCACCAAAAATCAAACCTTTGACTTTGTTCAAACTCGACTTGATACAACCATTAGTATAATTTGTATTAATTCAATTAAATTCAGCTCCTTGTCAGCCTCAGATCTAGTTAAGGAAGCCAGTACACATGCCATCAGTAACTTTTTAATAAAAACTTTTAGATACAAATTCAAAAGTAGCTTCCCGTTATTGTTGGCTCTATACATATAGCCATACTACTTACGTTTAATCCACAAAAGTAGCAATAACATAGTATCCCCATGTATCATGCACCTCTCGCTGTCAATTGCACTGCACCTTATTAATATTCTTCTTCATTATTCATTATATATATTTTTTTATGTAGCATGCATCAGCTCAGCAACTATGGATGGAAGAAATGAGAGAGAAATACAGCTGAAATAGCAAGAAATATATATCTAGACAAATTCTAGGGAAGGAAATGTGCCAGGCAGCAGACTATTGGGGTTTAGATCAACACATGTTGCTTCTGCCAAGGACTCGGGCCCACTGAGAACATACATATACTCCATCAGGTTGCTATAACCATTACTGCTATCTAAATAAGGCATTGAAGATGTAGAATTGAAGCACACCTGATCATTGATAGGCGGCTGATTATCTAGAACAAAATCAATCTTCGTGTTGATGAGACCACCTTTTGATTCACTACGAAATTCTAACGGACTGATATCATCAAAAAACATGGGGGGGTCATGATGATAGTTCTGAAGAGGCTGTTGCTGCTGTTGATGGTAGCACGGAGAAATGGAGCCGTAAGAACCGGAGAAATGCTGGAGTTGAAGAGCAATAGGATTTTCCTTGATATTGGGTTGCAGGTTTTGGGGATTGTATATTTGCACTATTTTAGGGATGTTATAAGGTTGTGATTGATTTCCAAAAGGAGACGTGTGAAAATGGAATGACCATATTGGGAGAGAATCTTGAGGAGGAGGTGGAATTTGATTTGAGAGATTAGGAAGAGAGAGACCTTCCACTGCTTGAGAGATGAGCTTCTTTTTAATTGTGGAGTTCCAAAAGTTCTTCACTTCATTGTCCGTTCTTCCTGTTAGATGTTTAGCTATCTGTGCCCATCTGTATTGCAAATATTGAGTACGCACTAATAAAACAAATAATGTTACTGATAAAAGTTAAAATTTGTACCACCTAAACCTCATCATCATCTTATCCCAAGTATTTTCAATAAGCTATCAAAGGCCTTCGGCTCAAATAGCACATTTGTAGGTTTCTAACCCGAAAAAATTGAGGACGCACTAATCTCAACAAACGCATTTTCTTTGAATTTGATTCTGTCCACAAGGTTTAATATTTATGATCAACTTATGCTCAAGTTATATTTTAAATTCCCGTTAATAGGCTCAAATAGATCAACTTATGTTCAACTTTTGATAAAAATTAGATATAACCTTTTCTAATTTTTAGAAAATAATTTGGTAAGATTTAATGAATTATAATTCTTCATGTTTTCCAAAAGTGTTGCTTAAAAGCTATTGTGGACTGATTTTATTCAACCTGTATTTATATATTAAATTTGGTCTAATATTTTTTTAGCAGTTTTCAACATTAGTTGTTTCTGTTTATTCAACTTTAATTGTTGCTCTTAAATAGGGTTCCACATAAGTGGAGCTTGAATGAGTTGATAGTGCTTTTTTGTTTGGCTTGGTAGATTTTGAATTGAATAAAAGCTCAACTCTAGGTTATTTCTTAATGAAATGCTTAACACTACACATGCCACATAATTCTTATGTATATTCAAATTTAACACCTAAATTTTGACTTTTACATATATGATACCAAATCTTTAACATCACTCAAAATAAAAACTAGTAAATAAAATTATTTTATTGTTTTACGTATATATGCTTTATTGTGATTGTAACAATTAGATGTTAAAAAAATAAATATGAAAGTTTGTGCGAAAAAATTGTGAATACAAATGAAGTATTATGTTGATAAATTTCTGATAAATAGATGAATAGTCATAAGAAACATAATTATTCTATTTTTTAATAACAAAATAATACATAAAAAAATAATATATAAATTTAGCTATGTAGATTCAAATTAGCATATTAGCATGTATATAACAAAAAAGTATGAAAATTTACCTGTTTCCCAAAATGCTGTGAAGTTCAATGATAAGCTTTTCTTCATAAGGAGAGAAGCTTCCTCTTTTTAGGTCTGGCCTTAGGTAATTGATCCACCTTAGTCTACAACTCTTGCCGCATCTTTGCAATCCTATGATTCCATGCAATGTGAAAGTGAATGATACAATTGTTCAAACAATAAACTTAATGAACTAAATTGGTAAGAAATACGCGTATGCAATTTTAAATGATGTAGTTAATTTGCACCTGCGCGTCTTGGCACAGAGCTCCAGCAGCCATGGCCGTAAGTTGAGATGTATTTTATGAGCTTTTCATCCTCTTCTGGCGACCATAGTCCTCTCCTGACTTTCTGCTTGTTGCAGCATGAATGGTGGCTCATTATCAAAGATAGTAATTAGAAGTTTACCATCTTCTGTCCTCTTATACCTGTTTTGCTTTTTCTTGTTTTTGTAAGCTACTTCTCTCTGTTTCTCTCTTACACACACGCTGGGTCTCTCTCTCTCTCTTTGTGTGCGTGTGTGTGCGCGTGTGCGTGTGTGGATCATAGACGAAGTTATTGAGTTTCTCTGCCGTGGTATGAAAGAGAGATAGCTATATATTGAGTTCCTAGTTTGATCCCTGGATGGATAAGTTGATGAGGAAGAGATTCATGATGAATTAGAGCATGAAAATTCCTAGCTTATTTGGTTCTTTAGCAATTATAAGTAAGGTTATAAATGATCAAGTTGAAGCATGCTTTTTGTTACGTTGCTTGTTCATTTTTTTTTTCATTATTATTTAGTTCATCCCGATCGAATTCTTATACTGCCGAACTTTAATAGTCTTGTCAAGCTCGTTTATTAATATGTTTATCGAGTTCATGAGTTAACTTCACTAATGACATATGTGATGCAAATGATATAAACTTTAAGCATTACTATTAGACATAAGTTGATTTAGAGATTTTTTTTAAAACTGGTCTAAATCACTAGGTTTATTTAGCTATTAGTTCAACATTTCAGTGATTTTTACTCCTCTAATAAAATGCTTAAAATTTTAAGTATATGGTATATATAGAATTTTTGGTAAATAGAATAAATATCAAAATATATAACTAAGCCGTCATTAAACTATCTATTTATTAATTTCCATTTATACTTTTTGAGATTACGAGAGCAATATTTGTAGAATACATGGAAGCAAAACAAGGCACGTGATTAGCTTAGATGGTAAGAAATAAAGAAAGCTTAGAGGCTGCAGAACTAATAGTTTCATGATTTAAGGAACTTCAAGAGGACTGTTTGATTGACCGAAAGTGAGAGGGGCCCCCAACTATTTGTGACTGTTGCAACGACGACGATAGGTACTGCGTACATGAGTTTTGTGGTGATAAAATCGTCTCTAGTGTTGATTTGGGTGTGAGCTCAATTAATTAGGGAATTTTAACGTAATAAAGTGAGGACTTAAGACCTGATTGTATGTGCAGATTATCAACATAAACAAATTGATGAAAAGACTACAGGAAACACAAATAAAATAAATAAACACTCACACAAGAACATGTGTGTGTGTGTGTGAGTGTGTGTGTAGTTTTTTTCTCTTTTTTTATAATTTTTTTTTGTTGTTTTTAAAAGATTTATAGTTCAAACAAAGTCTTCTAAGAAATTTTTAAGAGCCTCCCCGACAATCACGCCAAAAATTTGATGGGCGATTTTTGTGCGTTATAAATATTTTTCAACACTACAACACACAAGGTAGCTATACTAAAAAATATGCAGATCAATCACAATAAGATTTACTTCAGTATAATCAATTTCTCTTTTAATATATTTAAACCTGCCACTCCTAGTGAATTAAGGTGTACTGTTAATTTCAAATCATCACTAGGTTGCAAACGCAAGTATATCTACCACTCAAGTAATAAAGGGCTCAAAATGGAGTCCAAAGTATTGATCCCACAAGAACATGAAAATTTGTTATGGTAATCACAAAAAAACATATTATTTAAACTATAGAAAACTTAAGTAAGAAAACATGTCAAAATTTGTTTAATGCCACTAAAGAAACTATGTTTACTACACTAATCTCTAAACTTCAAAACTAAATTTGCTAAAACTAAACTAAGTTTTGTGATGAAGAGTTCAAATTTAAGAAAGTATTCTTCCCCTTAAAATGAGATTATAGTTAGTGAATTATCAAATTGAAGAGATTTGTAATGTGTCAAATAAGAGTAATTATATTCTTTATCCATTTTATAAGCGAAAAAGAAAATTGGCTAATCCAGAGTTTATTGTAAAAAACATAGCCCTCTCTGATTATGTGTTTCACAATAAATTTTAGCAATTCAATTGGCTATATCAAAAAATAAATGAAGTTTGAATTTTCAATCATCACAATTATGAAATTAAAATATTGCACGACAAACTTGATTCTTCACATGACCATTTCTCTTTGTAGAGAGAAGTAAGAAGAAATCTACTCAAAATTCATGAGGAAGATACAATAAAAAATGAATTTTATATATAAAGACAAGTTTACAAAACAAGAAAGAAAAGTAAAAAAAAACTAAAACAACTTAACTCGATCTCTTCCTCAAGCAAATCCCTTGAAGTTCCTTTGAATCTCTCTCTCTTTACTTAGAACTCACTAAGACTTATAAAGACTCACGCCAACCCCCTCATTCTGACATAAAAACACTATTTTATAATGTAGGGTCAAATTTCCCAACATTCTCCTTAGGCACTTCTTCAAAATCTGTACAAATTCAACACATTTGTGAAAATAACCTTCTATGACGCCTAGGCTCCATCTTCTCTGGATTCTGGTGTGTAGGCGCCAGTTCAATTTTTTAAAACACAACCTTTTAAATTCAAATTTCATCATTTTTGCATCCTTTAAGTTCTAAATGCCTATACTTAGTATAATTATAATAAAACATGAAAATGCATTTCTTTAAAGTGCAATATCACCAAATATAAGCTTTAAATATATGTGTAAAATAGAATATTTTTTGGTGTATCAATGATATAGTTATTTCATGGGCTTGACATGTGGATGAGCCACTACTCATTCGAGATGTGAGAGACTCACTCTATGTTCAATGGCTTAGCGAGAGCTTATAAGAATCAGAGCATCCCCCTATGAGATAACCTCCCTTGATGGTCTTGTATTAGTTGTCACTCTCAGGCAAGCAAAACCCCCTTGAATCAAGCGTGTTTTTGGGCAAACCCTAAGATGTAACAAACTAAGTAGGATGCGTCCCCTTAGGATCATTCATGAACACAGAACAGGCATCTTCATCTGACTCTCTGGTTTTTGGTAGTTTACGTAGCTATTATTTTGCAGATATTGGTTTAAGGTGTCGAACAGACACACTTACCTTTCCTTGTGAGGTTCAATGCATGTAGACTCTCTACATTTTGCTGTTTTCCCTTGTTTGTCGTCATTGTTGTACTTCCGTCTTTTCTGGTTCCTCTCTTCTCCTTGTCAGTCATATGACCCTGGAGAGAGACTTATTCGGGAAAGAGACGTATACGACGATCGACAGGTTGGTGACTCCTTCTAAAATAAAAGAGAGAAAAACAAACAAAAACATAGGTGAACTTCTAGGAAAATCACAAACCACTATGAAACATGAATCACAAAGGTGTGGGCCTCATCTCTTTTTAAAAGTTGTGTGATTTCACGACTTTCTTTCTCTTATTTTTGTTTTCCAACTTGTGTTTTTGATTTTTTTTATGAGAATGATTGTAGAAATTCAATCTTTTTCTCGTCATCATGCTAAACTAGGTTTGGACGTTTAGTAAAATAGAGATTCATATGTTAAAATTTTTCTTAGCCCTTTTCTCATGGGATCGTTATGTGGCACTCTAAATCCACATTTACTTGGGTAATATAGCTGATTTGCTTCACAATACCATTTTAAGCTATCAATAACTTCTGAACGTCATTGATATGTATGATAATTACTAATAATATATCATGGATTATGCTTTTAGCTCAAATCGATGGGTACTACATTTTGATATATCGTTAAAAGAAAAAAAGCTATAAAAAAGGCCATAGATTATGAGATTACCAACAAGCAAATTAAATATGCCCAATAAACTATTTAAAAGTAGTCTTATCTTTATTAACTAACTATTTTGTAAAAAATATTGATGGCATACCCGCCAGAAAAAAAAGTATATTCATTTACTAAAGAAATTGGGCGTTTCTTTGCATAATGTATTATAAATTATAATAATTGGTATAAAAAGCAAGACCTACCCTAGTATGATGTATAGATCTAGAAAAAACCAAAAATAATTTGGTATATCTATAGTACAAACAAGTTTCAATAGGTTTATTCAAATTTTTTAGAGAATATTTTGCTCGCCAAAGCAAGGAGTGATTTACATGGTTAAGGCTTAATTAGAAGCTACATAAAATAGACTATTGAACTTCATTTTAGAAAAAAATTAGTTTACTAACATACCATTGATCTTTAAAGATGATAAGCATCTAAATTATCCTTTAAGAAATAAATTAATTTTTAATTGCATTAAGGACTATTTTCCTGTTTGTAGCACCCACAACGAGAATTTGGAAATATTAAATCACCTTATGACAAGTACATAATATTAAGGTGGACCTTTAAAGAATGCATTGCATCCAATCTTAAGTTGGCTTTGGTTTGATTCACTATATGCATAAACCATCCTTTAATCTAAGTTGCTTATAAAGAATCTCAAGGTAACTTAGGTGGTAATATAAGTTAATTTATCCCTGATTAATCTAAAAGAAAATTTGTATGACCCCAACAAAATTATGATTTAATCTAGTCAATTTAAATAAGTATTAAGGAATATTACTTAAACATGATAAAATTTAATCAAATTATACAAATAGTTATTGAGATTATACACTAGTTTTAATGTTCTTAACAAAAACAAGTTATTTTAATCAAATTATAAGAATATGTTAACTATTTGAATGTCACATGCCATGAAGAGAGGAAAGAACCCTAATTTTAATTTTTCCATAACTTCAATATGGTTGGCTTTGAGGAATTTAACATTCTAAGAACTCATATAAAGAAGGAAGGGAAAAGAAATACAAAAATAAGAGAACATGCTATATATAAGTGGTAACATGTGTTGACTTACATTTATAATAGGAAGGAGGGAAGAATCAACTAATAAAAAAAGAAAAGTCTCATAAAATCTAAGATCGATTGCTTTAAGGTTATAAAATGGTAGAAATTTAGTGTTTAAGATCACCATAAAACGTTTTATGTACTCTCTAGGTTATAAGATACTTATAAGCATTAGATGACTTGACATGGGCATAATGTTCAAGTTGATAAATGTCAACTAAAGCATTAAAGAAATCCCTACACATGAAGTTGCTCCAAGGTATCTCTTCGGTTGAAAAAGTGGGAAATAATGTTAATTGTAATATTAGTATGTAAAATGTCATCATATTGAACCAGATGAAT